GCATCTTTTGATAGGCAACATTCTTTTAGATCTGCAGTTTGGCTCAACACAGTAGAGTCTTAACACAATCTTCTTTGATTCTTGTATAAGAAACGTGTGTCTTACTTGATTTGGTTGCTCTGGCAAGTTTTCAGCAATCATTGTCTTAACACGAGGATTTAGGAAGGACAAATCAAGTTTTAAAAGGTTGGCTTTCTCCCTTCTCTCTACATCCTCTCTTTTTTCCTTTCTGTCTCTCTTCCGCTGCCTCTGTTGCATCTTATCCAGGGAAGCAGGAGGGCAGCAGCATCCTGAACACAGTTGCCTTTTGGTCAAGCTCTTGGTTGGTTAGTGATCTTGCACTAGAATCAAGTTCAGAGCAAGAGTTCCTCTACCTGGAGAGAAGTACGGAGTGTGGGTGATGGAAAAAGCCCAGGGTTCATTCAGCCCCACCTCTTCCTAGGCTCTTCCCTTGGGCCCATTTACCCCCTCCCTCTGAGCTGTGGTTTCCTCCCCTGTAGAATTGGAATAATGATATGGTCTCCTTTGGAGATGTCACAGGGATCTGTGAGGTGAGGGACAGTGTCATGTGGTGGAGCTTCAGAGTTAGCAGCTGCTTCCTTTCTCTCCCAGCTTCTGCAAGTGCAGTTCGCATCCCATTCTGCAAACAAACTAACATGTTTCTTACCAACTTGTGTATTTATAGGTTTTTTCCTCTTTAGCAGATCCCTCCTGTCTTTCTCCTGATTTCCTGGGAATGCATTCATGCATTTCTGTGGTACTTCGTCTTATTTGTACTCTCCCCTCAAAAACGGAAGCCACAGACTTCTTTTCATCAGGTATCCCAGAACTTTTCAGCATCCGTCCCTGGTGTTAAGTTTGCTCTCTTCTCTGCCTTGGTCATCCCCCATTCACTTAGTAGAACTATATTCTCTAAATGTTGCATCCCCAGCTTTTAATCCATCTGCTCCTGCATTTCCGTTCCGCCCAGCAGCCATTCCCCACCCAGGCTGCCTCTCACCTACATCTTTCGTGTATTTTCCTAACTGGTGCTGCCACCAGCCTGACACATCTGCCAGGTTGAGTTGCAACACAGATGCAGACTCAGATCTCCCAGTCACAGATGGCCCACCACGTGTTTGCTTTATCCATCCTGCTGTAGACCCACAGAGTAGTTTCGAAAAATTACTCTAGTTGCCAACATTTGCAAATTAAGAGATTTCATATAAACATCCAAATTTGCCTTACTTAAAAAAAAAAAAAGAAAAGAAACGAAGAGTTGTCAACACTGGATCAGCTTGACTGCACGCAGCTCTCATCTGGAGCCAGGTAGCCACTGCCCCTTGGATGGGCACCCATTCCTGACTGCCTGTAACACCCTTCATAGTGTGGGTTCCTTTCGCAAGCCCTGGAGGTAGTTAGCTTGTGATCTCCATTTAGAACATACCTCTCCTTTGTGCCTCCCTTACATGCTGCCTCCTGCATTAAGTGCTAGCTCCTTGCCTGCCACTTGCCAGTGTCCAGCAATGTTTCAACTGCTGAAGGTGTGCTTGAATCGCCAAAGAAGACCAAAATGGTGATTCCTGTCCTCCTCCCCATCTGTATGTCCAGCAGTTCAGTAGTAGGCCTCAGGAATCGGTATGTCAGCCCGATCACTTGATAATTCTAATGCCAATGGTCTAGGATACATACTCTTAATAAATAAAGTATGTTTCTATGTCTTTTCTAGTCATCCCTTAGTTTCAGCTCAAGAATTCCTGGAGAAGGACTTTGATTAACCCAGATTGGATCAGATACCTTTACTTACGTCATCACCATCAAATGACAATTCTTTGAAAAAATTATATGGGCCTAGGAAGAGAAGTAATTCCTGTCAGAGAGGTGCTGAATAGACAGCTTCTCCTGCGTTCTCTCTCCTTGCTCCTTCCTCAGGAGTATGTGGCTTGCTCAGTAGCCCTTCTGCACTGATAACTCGAGGAAAGCAAGTTTGTCAGCCCACCTCCCCATAAAACTACCTAGTACCGTACTTGAAACAGAATTGTTGTTGTTGTTATGTGCCGTCGAGTCGTTTGCGACTCATAGTGACCCTATGTACAACAGCCCTAAACCCTGCTCTATCCTGTGCCAATCGCATTGCCTCTTGACACACCTATCCCTATTTT